TTGGCATTTGAAAGAAAACAAAACATCTGAATCTGAGCTTCCTGTAGATTATAGTTTTCCTGCGCTTTTTAATTGCTTTGATAAATGCTGTTTAAAGAAGTATAAATTCTTGCCTAAAAACCTTCTATGATGAACAGCTCAAATTTTCTTTAATTTGAAATGTTTAGAAGGGGATAAATACTGTCTGGTTAATTCAGCCAACTCTTTTCTGCTTCTTCCTTAGTCTTTTAATCTAAGAGGTCAGAGGTTTATGAAAGAGAGGTTTTATGAAAGAGAGGCCCTATGATTAAACTATAATAATAAATAAAATTATCAGAAATAAACTACTCTAAGCTTAGTGATATTATGCTTACAGGCAGAAGGTGTTTATCTACCTCTTTTGCAATCCTGTTAAGGGATAGTCCAATGTTGTGACGAAGGGGGAAGGAGGTCTAAAATATTCAAAAATTGCGTGACCCTTATGTGGTCCTTTCTTGGAAACAGTATTACTTAATTTTGTATCAAAGCATACTCCACATACTTTTTAAGGTCATATTCCTCTAGTATTTTCATGGTTCCTATATGCATATCCTCACCTGAGGAAGATGCCAATTATGTGAAAATATTCAATATTCACTAACACAGCTAATCTTTCATTTTTCAATCTTTTTCTTTGATTCATTCAGGCCAAGTCTTGTTCTCAAAATTAATTAAATAGGGGTAACAGGATTTTTCCATCACCCTATATTTATTTGGTTTAGCGATTTCTGCCGTCTCCTCAGCAGTTGTTTTCATCTTCCTTAATGCTGTCAAGGCATTGAATTTGAATTTTGTGATGTTAAATCTACAATCTTGAAGAATCGCACCCATCACTTTTTTGTAATACATTTATTACAATGGGGTAGGGGGGTCATATCATTTGCTGTATCTCTGATACATTTCCATCTAAAATATTCTTAGGGATTTTTCTAGTAAGTATACAATTATCTTCTATGATGTCAAATTTCTGATTCAAAATCTGAATCAGCAGTAGTGTCAGTGAAACTAAAATTTAGTGCTGAGGTAGCCCTGAGGTAGTGTCTGTTATGACAGATTCATCTTGTGTCCTTGTCTTTTTTCTCTTTTTTTTTTTTTTTTTTTTTTTTTTGCTTTTCTATCTTCTGATCCCAAAAGTGTAAGTGCAGTCTTGATCTTTCAAGAAAATGAAATCTGTGCTTATCTTTATCTGAGCGATTCTTGTTTTTATTTAAAAATTTGGTTATTTAAATCTGTAGAGCTATTTCAAAGTTTTTCAAATACTTTTAAGTAATCTTCATTCTATTAACTTTGTCTTTGGCTGTTCCTCTGTATTTATTTCTACTGAAGTCAACTTCTTGTCCATCTTCATTTGGTTTTTTATAATTTTCTTATCTAAAATTTCTTGAAAACTTGACTTGACTGATGGTGTTTTAACCTAAAATGTATTTACAATCTTATACTTCACATTTTTTGATCAAGATCTTATCTTACATCATCTTCACATCAATTGCTATGTTTGCACCTGATCAATCTTTGGTAAACCCACTTCTCATCCACATTAGTTAGACATTGTTCAACATTCAATTCATCTTGTAGGATGATCAGAAATTTATGCGCAAGTTCAATTCGATTTTGTTTATTTGCTGGGGTAAGGCCATATGGGATCCATTGTGAACAAATTGATCTTTTCATCAATTTTTCTGTGATTATTGAATAAACTGAACCAAAAGAAATGTTTACGACATCACAAATTTGCTCTATTGTTAAAAATTTGTCTTTATCAAGCAGTTGTTGAATGGTCTCAATGTTGTCCATAGTTATTGAGGTACTAGGTCTACCTGATCTCAATTCACCTGAAAACTGACTTTAATCACTTATGCTTGATGTAGGATACTTTTGGTAGTACTTGTATACTATTTGAATGGAAGTTGCATCCTCACCCTAGACATTATTTTTGAATTTGTGAGCATCAGATGAAGACTTCTGATTATGACAACAAGTCTCAATTAACCAACTTTGTCAATTTGCATTATAGCTTTAATAATTTAAATGATCTAAAATAAACATTTAATTTATTAGGCAATATGGACATAAGTTAATGTTAAGGATATCTATAAAAAGTTTTATTGGTAAGAATATTAAAACACAAGTTAGACGAATTTTTTGATAATACTAATATATGGTTGTAAATTATCATTTATGCTTTTTTTTACATCGTTGATTGCTTTGTTTTATTTGTTGTTTTTAAGCATTGGATTTTTTGTTATGACTGTCAGGATTACAACTGTCATGACAAAAAAACATGAAAATGCTTGTAAAACTTCAAGTAAAAACTATGAAAGTCAGCATATAATAACATCGATATGTGCTAAATACACACACCAAATGATTTTTTTTTACCTTGCTGTTTGCTGCATTAGGTCTGACAAAGTTGTTTTGTTCAGAAGGGGTAGGAAGTAAGCATGATGTCTGTCACTCTACATAGAGTTAATTTTTGAAAAAAGTTAAAGACTTTAATGCTTTAATTGCATTGTATGAAACATTAAAACAACTTTTGTTTAGGGAAAAAGTTTGAAAAATATAAATGTTTTAAATTAGAAATTAATTATTTTATAATAAAAATAATAATAAAAAAGACATATTTTATATAAAGATATATATATATACAGTATTGGACAAAAAATTTGTAAAAAATTTGTCCAGTATTGGACAAAACATTTGCAACCAACATCGAACAATGCTAAAAAGTGTTTCTAATTTTACATGTCTTAAAAACAAATCAAACTATACTACCACAGCAAATAATTTCAGAAGTCATATGGAGTCATAGCATGCCATGACATGAGCAATCAGTTGACAGGTGACAGCACACAGGCAGAATTTCATTGACAAGTGCCATTTTGCAGCGGACAAAACAAGTGCAACTTTTTTGGTTTGTTTCATTTTTTTAACTCTGGTTTGTGTCAATGTCACATGTTTTTTAATAATTAAAGGAAGTATCCAGAAGTTTCCAGAAGCATGCAGAATCTTCCAAAAGTTTCCAGAAAAAGCATCTGGAAGCATTCAAAAGTATCCAGAAACAATCAGAAGCATCCAGAAGCTTCCAGAAACTTTGAAAAGAAGCATCTAGAATCTTCCTGAACAGGTTCATACAAGTTCAAACAGGTTCATTTTATTATATAAGAGACATGTAAACCGACATGTAATTCAGTCAGTATATGGAAGTCAATCAGTCAGCATTATCAAGACAGTTTATTGAAGTGAATTTTATCAAAGTGTTTTATCGAAGAACATCAATACAAGAAGTGAAATAAAACAAGTGTTTCATTACATTAATACAGTCCACATCCTACCAAGACATGTTCCACAGGTAAATGTAACACGGTAAGCCTTGAGAAGCATGATTAATTATTTTTATTATTTTTATGACTTCAAGTGCAAAAATGGCTCTCGACAGTCTTGGATTGGAACTAAGAAAGAAAATCATTGGCGATTATGTAAGTGTAATATCACAAAAAAGTATTTGTGATAAAAATCGCGTGAAAGAATGGACCGTATCAAGACTATGTTGCAAATATCGTTCTATGGGGAAGTTGGCAGCAGATAACAAAGGTGGAAGATCGCGTTCAACGACTTCTAAAGAGTTTTCCACTTCTAAAGATTCTATGATCGTCAAATCTGTCTAGAAGTATCCCTTGATATCATTATTCGAGATACAAAAGCAATTAGAGCTGCCTGTATCGGATCGAACAATCAGACGACATGCTGTTGAAGCTGGATTGTTTTCTTGACGCCCTGCAAAGAAACCGCTGATTTCACTAAAGAACCAGAAGAAAAGACTCCTGTTTGCTACATCTCATCGAAGTTCAACATCATTGAGAGCAATGGCAATTGCTGTGTACGTCGACCGGACGGAAAGCGCCTCGATTTACTTTACTGCCATAAGACCGTGAAGCATGGTGGAGTCAATGTAATGGTCTGGGGGTGTTTTTCTGCTAACAGTCTATGTCCAATACATTGAATCGATGGAATAATGGACCATTTCATGTATAAAAATATCCTAAAAGATGTTATGTTACCTGGAATATGCTAATAAAATGGGTTTTTCAGCAAGACAACGATCCAAAACACACTGCAAAAGTAATCAAGCAGTGGTTTCAAGACAACCACCTATCGGTAATGGATTGGCCGCCTCAATCTCGGGATCTCAACCCTATCGAGAACTTGTGGGAGATCGTCAACCGCAGAATTAATCGTGAAGGTTTTCGTTTTGGATTTGTTCAACTGTTTGAACAAATTCAAAAGGCCTGGGCAGCGATTCCACAAAGTTTCATTGATCACCTGATCGAATCTATGCCTCGAAGATGCAAGGCTGTGATAGACAACAAAGGATTCGCTATGAAATATTTATAGCGAAATACAGCTTGGTCAACATTTTGTAGAGTTGCACTTGTTTTGTCCAGAAGGAAATCAATTTTTTTAATACTTTTGATTAATTTATTAATTTTCGTGTACAAATAATGAACTTTGTGATGAATAAAACTTGAAGAACGTTGTCTCTGAACAGTTACATAGTTATTTCTCTAAATTGAAAAAATGCAGCACTTTTATATAAAGAAACTAAATTAGCATTATTATACTGTATATATATATATATATATATATATATATATATATATATATATATATATATATATATATATATATATATATATATATATATATATATATATATATATATATATATATATATATATATATATATATATATATATATATGTATACATATATATATATATATATATATATATATATATATATATATATATATATATATATATATATATATATAATTAATTTTAATTTCTAGAAAAATCTCCCCGCCCCCTTCTCTCTCTCTCTTTCTTCTCACATTATATATATCCATATGCTTAATATCATCTTGATATCAACTGTTAAAATTTTTGTTTATTTTAAAAACTACTAGATTGCATAATTTTTAGGTAACATTGGAGATTGCAATGATGTTAAATCAACAAAGATTTTTACAACAATAGTCTCACCACGAACGTTTCTATTTAGTAATGAAATTCAAATTACAATATTAATTTTTTTAAGTCTAATAACATTTGGAGCAATTATTCGGGTTGTTTTGAAAATCAGACGTCAATATGCTTGGAAGAACCCAATTCCTTATAATGGTTGGTGTATTGTTGTGTGTATTTAGTTTCTTTTTTTTTTAATGTCATGCTTCTTAAATATTGATATTTATTTAAAAGGTTGTATGCTCAGTTTTATTTGATATATGTTTATATTATTTATATAGAGGTAAAAGAAAGGTTGGTTTACATTTCTCACTGCTCATTAGCCAAAAAAGACAAAAAAAAAGTAATGGGTTTGGCTGCGCAACTTAATTCAATTTCAAATGTTAACATTTGTATTGATTTATGCAATCAAAATGAAATTCTTAATCATGGATTAGCAAAATGGATTCTAGATAATCTAGAAAAAGCTGACAAAATTATAATGGTTTTAACTCCTTTATATTTGGAGGTTTGTTTATGTTTATTAAATCCATTAACTTTTTTTTTGGTGAAAATATAATTTTTATTTTCAATTTTTTTTTTTTTTTTTTTTAACAGTTTTAAACAACTTAGTTTATGAGTTCCAACCAGTTATCAAATGTAGATTTCGATCAACCCTGTTTTTAGTTAATCTGTAATATAAAATTAACAAGAAATTTTTTGAACATTTATTTATTTAAAATATTTATAAATATCACAGGACATTTTTTCACAAGAATTTTTTCACAGGAATTTTTAAAATAATCACAAGTTTTACTATCCTGTATAAACACAGGATAGTAAAACTTCAGATAAAACAAATTTCTGTGAAAAAATATTAAAAACAAATAAAAGTTAATTTAAAGTATTAAATAAATTTTTACTTTTGAAATCATTTTTAAAAAATTTTGAAAGAAGTAATATGCATTCTTAGTAATAGCGTGTATTATCATTTTAGTTAACATTGTTTCAAAGATTTAGATGTGTAAAAAATGGTATGGGATGACAACGAACATTTAACTGCTTAGTAGGTTTTTATTTATTTGTGAATGGTTAAGAAGCTAGAAGCGATTAAATTTTGTAGTAAATCAAGTAATGCAAAGAGGTGATTAAGTAGTTACAAATTGTGATGAAACATTTCTCGATCTTAAAATTTTATTATTTGAAAAAAATACAATTGCTGATTTTTATAATCCTGTAAAACTTTTCGTATTAAAAATATGTTTCTCGTAAAATCAAATAGTTTCTTCAATTAAATAATACTTTTTTATAATTCTTTTATTATTTTCTTTAAGTAATTGTTTTTAAATTTTAAGTTCTAACAATGTTACACACAAAATTTTCAACTGTAAAAACCATTAGTTAGAAGAAAAATTGTTGCACAATATTACAAGTGTTGCAACACAATCATTGCTAAGAAGTCTGCTCTTATATTATTGGACAACAATCTTTTTCAAATTCAGTAACTTCAGGAATACCACATCATTTGTCTTATGTTGTTCCTCATCTATTTAATGGTCTTCCTGGCAATCTCTAAAATGCCATTATTTGCTGATGATGCAACAGTCTTGTCAAAAAGTCGTAACTTTTTGAAAAGAAAAAGCTTAGAAAAGACAATCTATCTAAAATATGAATTCTCTTCAGTGACAACTTAAGGCTTGCAGTGGATGGTGAATTTTAATCCAAGCAAAACAATGTTGTTTACTGCTCATAATCTTTACAATAAGATGATAAATAAGTTAACGTGGTAGTTTAAATACTAGTAGCTAGTTAACGTGGTTGTTTCTAAATAAGTTAGAATGTTCATAACGATTGTTCTTGTGATAGTTTGACAACTTGACTTTGATCTTTTTTACGCAATAGTTTGGCAGAACATCTATAAAAATCTTAAACAGTAGTTTTAAGCATGTTGAAAGTTTTTGAAAAGCGCAATTGTTGCCCATGCTTGAATATTCCCTGTCTTCTCTATATAAACATATTTTTTCCAAAACAATATATAAAAAAAGTTCTTTCTAAAACCACTCTTGACAATAAAGTAAGTTTCTGTTCAGCTTTATTATATTCTCAATAAAAAGGAGATGGATACAGAGAAAAAACGAGGTTCTTCAAATGATGGAAAAATTAAACTTAGCTTAATTTCTTTTATTACATATCTTCTATCATATTTTGTAAATTAAAAAGTACATAAAATCCATTATTAAATTATTCATACTTATTGTTTAAAAAATTTTTATTTTCCCGTTGTTTTTTTTTGTTTTTGTTTTTTTTCATTATTAATAATTTATTACACATTAGAGAGCTGTTTCAGTAGTTATGCGAAAACTATTTAAAATTTTTTTTAATATGTTGACTAATGGGACTTGTGGTCAAAAAAACTGTATAGAAAGTTTAACACAAATTTCAAGTTGTTATTTTCAAATAAAAAGGAATATACAGCAATACAATAAAATTAGTTGAGAATATTTTCTAAACCGGAAAAAGTCTTTTGGTAGACAAATTGAAAATAAAATTTGAAAATGAAAAAGAAATTTGTAAATGAAAATGAAATTTTGTAGACAAGTATAAAATAAGTTAATAAGTGTTTAATAAGTTTTTTTCAAATTACTTCACAGGGTTCCCACACCTCCTTTTTTTTCAAATTACTTCAGTAATTTTAGTTATTTTCCAAACAATGAAAAATTACATCTAGTATTACATTTTTGTGTGATATAGTACTATATAGGTATGGCAAATCATAAACTAACTAAACTTTCAAGATAGAATGCTGAAAACTTAAAATTTCTATCAATTTATCAAAGATGTTATAAAATTTGTAATAAAATTTAAAAAGTATAGAGCACTAAAGCATCTTTCTGTAACAA